GCGAACAAAAAAAAAAAAAAAAAATTACCCAACTGATAGGCTTCATACCACCTGTGACTGACTAGCAAGTGGCTGCCATTTTCAAGAATTTTCTAAAAGAAGAAAACATGGAAAGAGCATTCCAGATGCCTCTAAAATCCATCGATAGATATTTTTAACTCAAACTCAGCGAATCGGAGCGGAGCGGTTGAAAAGGTAAGAAATAATTCACTAGTACTGTTTTACTCAAATTTAATTTTGGACCAAACTTTCGAGAGGCAATATTACGTATTAAGTGCAAGGCATTTTTTTTCTGACCCAATTTCTCCAGAATCCATTGTTCGATTTTCCAAATTCTTGCTGCACTATACTCAGGTTGAAGTGACCGCCCCAGTCAAACTACCATATTTTCCGTACTATAAGGCGCACCTATAAGCATTCAATTTTCTCAAAAGCCGACAGTGCGCGTTATAATCAGATGAACCTTATATATAGATTAATATTCAGATTTCTTGGCTGTAGTATTTTAAATATTCTTTAAAGCGCTTTGGTACAGCTGCAGCAGTTGTGAAAGTGCAATATAAATAAAGCTGTATTGTATTCCTTTAGCGTAGCTCCATCTAGTGGATGTGTAACGTAACCTCAGCCACTACTTTAGCTTCTATTCTATGCGCCTTATAATGCGATGCGCCCTATACAGTATATGAAAACAGTTTTAAAATAGGTCATTCATTGAAGGTGTGCCTTATACTCCGAAGCGCCTTATAGTGCGGAAAATACGGTACGCATTTTCACATTTTTGGCAATTCTTGTCACCTTGCTCCTGTGTGAGGATAAGCAATATGTAAACTAAATGGAAACGCTACCCAAAAATCTTTGTGACTGCTTATAAGGTTGGCATTTCAGCCAACAAGAGCCCCACTTGGAGCTTGAAACAGGCTGTCTCGATCTGCATTTACCAAATGTGATGCCCTGTGGGGGCGAGAGAACGTCTGCTCTTTGTGGTAGAAAGCCTTGTGAGCATTCAACGGGAGTGAAGAGGAAAAGCAATCTGCTATTGATGCGCAGCTGATGTCATTTGGCAGAACTCAAGATTGTTTTTGAAGAATGAAACAGATGTCATCATTGCTTAGTAATGCTGGTGAATCCATCTGGTGAAGTTCAGTAAAATCAAATAACACTTATGTATGTAATATAATTTCATTAACTTGCCATGCGTTTTTTTGGAAAGTGGGAGGAAACCGGAGTACCCGGAGAAAACCCACGCAGGCACGGGGGGAGAACACGCAAACTCCACACAGGAAGACCGGAATCGAACCCTGGACTCTGCACTTTGAGGCCGGGGTGCTACCCAGTGGAACACCATGCTGCCCTGACTTAGGATCCTATTTTGCAAATGACAATGTGACAAAATCAGGAAGTAGAAAACGAATCAATAAATAAAACCAGAATAAGTGCTAAGCATCAATAAACCAAAGTAAGACGACTGATTAGTCAGCAACATGACTACAGACATTTTTAACTCTTATGAAAGTGAAACAGTCATTAACTTCTGGTGGATATTCACTGTCATCTGACCTCCCAACAAAGCCAAAGGAAAATGCAAAACACACACCAGTTAAATCTTTGATGCTTGCCGTAACTGAGGTCGAGTGAGGTGCTCCAAGTTGTCCAACTTGCGGCGCAACTTCAAGGTACGAGAAAACGAAGAAAACAAAATCAAAACCGTCTAGAACAAACAAACCTCACCAGTGATTTTTGGAGCCAACTATACATCGTGCTTTGAATGTTCACAGATTGGGTTACATAACAATTAATTTTTCTCTTGGCTACATCACATTTAGGGCTGCATCTTGTCGCAACACTTCCCGGGCCGGGAAATTTTAAATCCCTGCATTAATTTGGCCCTTTTTTTTTTTTTTTTTGGCGGTGTGAAATTGCAGGCGTGCACTCACCCAGAAGATGTGAGGCTGTGCACGGTGATTGTCAAGTCAAACGGGAGTTTTCCCGCCAACAAGAAGAAGGTGGTACGTTGTCATTAAGCTGTCCTTCTTCTTCCTCTTCTTCTTCTTCTTGAGTGTGATGGAAAGTGAAAATGATGGACTCACGAGGAGATTGAGCAAGATGTCACCTTGAGATGTGACATCCCATCCACTATGTTAGACTACGGACAGGCATAATACAGTAATTCATTAGTCAATTGTCGAGAACAGATTTGGTGCGTTTTAAATTAATGGACCAGATGCACGGCAAGGCGTGAAGCATTTCCAGTGCAGAGATAATATTCCGCTGTCTATTTGTTAAATACTACCGGGATGCCATCTAATTGAAAAATAGCCTCAGTAGTAAAATGTTGGTCTTTTTTTTTTTTTTTTTTGACTTGTGAGAATGTAAAATAGTGGTTAGTTCTGAAGTGTTCAATAAAACCTAATGTGCACGTTGATGGAATATGGAAGGAAGATGGAGTACCCGAAGAAAACCCACACAAGTACAGGGAGAACGTTCAAACAATAGAGTCAGAGCCAGTATTCAGACCCCAAACATCATATCTGTGAGACAGACATGCTCACCGCTATACAGCCACGTTGTTTTCACTGTCCTTCACTCTGTGGTGAGGATGTTTGGTTTTGACCAGCAAAAGGAAAAGTTTTATTCCTTCTAAGAAGCAGCCGAACGGCTCCACTGTCTTAAGGGTTTGCAGAAGGAGTCATTGCTATAGTGATGATGGGGAGATTTATGTTCCTCTTAAGATGAAAGCTACATTCTCTTCAAAAAGCCTTTTATTAGCTCTTCGAGACATTAATGCTTGGATGAGCTTGAAACAACAATGATCCATCTCCATATTTTTGCTGCTTTTGACACTTCTCAGTTATTTATTAAAGACGTCGCTACCAAGGGTGAAGATGTGGAACTGGAAGAGCTCAACAGCGGAAGCAGCAGCCATAAACAGAAGCCACAATGCAAGCTGGGAGACACTCCAGCCACCAGCCACCAGCGGCTGATGCCAGCTAAGGCCAATGCTAGCCCCACTTCCTCGCCCCCGACACCCCCGGACGAAAGCCAGAGAGCGGATGAGAACGGCGACCCCAGCAAGGAAGCCCTGGGAGATTCCACGCAAATGGTGACTAAAGTTTTCCAGACGCAAACCCTGCCGAACGGCAAGACGCAGACATCTTTGAAAAGCATGAGCAAGAGGAAGATTTCCCAGCAAAAGGAGAAGAAGGCCACGCAGATGTTAGCCATTGTCCTCGGTAAGTTTGCTCACCGGAGTTGACCTCGCAATTAGATTGCAGAAAAAGGAAAATGCTGATTATCCAATTAATGAATCCAATGAAAAAAATCTAAACCTCCTCCTTAAGATGAAACAATTCTTTTACATAATTTGATAAAACTGTTCTGCTTCAGTCATAGATGTGTGTGTGTGTGTGTGTGTGTGTGTGTGTGTGTGTGTGTGTGTGTGTGTGTGTGTGTGTGTGTGTACGGATTTCAATTTCATCTTATTTTACCAATTCTGTTCCTATAGATTTTCTTCTTTTTTTTATGTTTTATTGTATGCAACTTCGGGAAAATAAAAAATTCCGACACACGTCACAGTTTTGTTTTTTTGCTTGTTTTTTGCAGTTCTTGAGATTGTAACTCCCAGAACTGCATTTTCTTCTATAATTTTGATGATTCAGATGTTTAACAGTGGATATGACAACGTTACTATTTTATTGAACAACTTTGGTTCAGATGCGAAGTTTCAAAATTTCAATGAATTAATCTGGGCATAAGAACAAGAAAGAAGAGGAGCAGTCACACGGTCCTGAAAGGCACAATCAGTTTCTTTTTTACTTTGGGTTTTTTTTTCCACTTTGCTTAATGTTGATGGCTTAGAAGTGTTTTTCTAAAAAACATTGATTGTAATTATGACTACTGGAATATCAGCATTGGAATTGATCGTTAGCAAAACAAATTTGGGACGGTACTCAATGCATGCTGTGCAGTACAATTTTAAAATCTTACAATTTACTCAACCACTACGGATTTCGGTTGCTTCTGAATAATACTTTGTTAACAAAAAAAAAAAAACAACAACAAAAAAATTGGAAAGGCTTCAAACTACCGAGGCAGTGATACAATGAAAAAGGCAGGAAATAGTCGGACATGTCCACATGGAACTTGGAGGCTGACGTCCTTCCCATTCATTAATCTGTCGTCCATTTTCTCCTCTCTCCTCAGGTGTATTCATCATATGCTGGCTGCCGTTTTTCATTACACACATCTTGAACACCCACTGCACAAAATGCAAGGTTCCTGCCGAAGTGTACAATGCTTTCACATGGCTGGGCTATGTCAATAGCGCTGTGAATCCCATCATCTACACCACTTTTAACATCGAGTTCCGAAAAGCATTCATGAAGATTTTGCACTGCTGAAACGCAGCGAGGCTTTTTAAGACTGAAGGATGAACACGAGCGTGTCGCCAGGCAAATACCTCATCTTGGAAAGGAGAATGCACCGCAGGGGCTAACTGAAATGTACTTTTCAAAGTCAGGGAGTAAAGTTACAGAAGCTCGGAGCTGCTGATGTGGAGTAAAAAAAATATATTTTGACTGGCAAATGCGTTCGGATATACTTGCGAGTACGTTCAAACGAGCTTGTATGCTAACTGCTACAATTGTAGCATTTTACCATAATGCAATGGGCGTATTGACTTACGCATTCACAAGTAAAAGAAAGCTGTTTCTTTAGCATTTAGCCTACAAGTACTTTCGAACCTATTTGCGAGTAGGTTTTTTTTTTTCTCTGCGAAACGCTGAATGTAAAACAAAAAAAAAAAATGTCTGTAGCAATGGCTTCTTCGGAAAATACAAATGTAAATTGTTCTCTGAAAAAGAAAAGCATTGTGCTTGTCACCATTTAATGTAAACGCCGCACACAAAAATTGCTATTTATTCTGTGTATTTCTTGTTTATACAGGTGTGTGTGTATGTATGTGTGTATATGTGTGTGTGTATATATCTATATATATATCTATCTATATCTATATATATATATAGATATAGATAGATAGATAGATATAAATAGATATATATATATACACACACACGTGTGTGCGTGTGCGTGTGTGCGTGTATAAATATTAGTGTTCTTTTCAGTGTTCAATCAGATATGTGAGCTCTATATTCTGAAAACCTACGTAGAATGTGTTTCCATGGCAAAAAGACTCTTTATGGTACTTGCTGTACAGTGTGGCTATGCCAACCCATCCATCCGTCCATCCATTTTCTAATCCGCATATCCTCACAGCGAGGCCAATACCCACATGATTGCAATTTTATAAATTGGAATGTCTTATTTCCTTATTGATCATTGCTCTAATTTGCTGTGAATATGTTTTACTAACCACATTTATTGTGTTTATATGATATGCCTGCGACTGAAATGTCATGCATGCTCCACAGTTTCTCTACTTAACTTCCCATGAAATGTATATGTTATCTCAAAAAGACAAAAAAGATGTCCAATAAATGATGAGACACCGTCAAGTGCCATTTGATTAACAGTATTAATATTTGTGGTATATTGTTATATCCGCAATTGTCCTGTCATCATTCAGCAGTGTTTGCTTTCACTTATGCCCTCAGCATCCAACGCATGACTTAAAATCCCCCCACCCCCTTACCTTAATTACCTCTTAATGCTCAAGGAGTCTGATATGTCACCTTCCAAGTGTCTCGATCACTCAAACTGGATTAGTTTATAACACATACAAATCATCAGACACTTCTTTGGTATGGCTACACACAGTGCTTTCGGTGGAAAAAAATACGTGGCGGGCAGCTACGTATTCGACGGTTGCCTTATAAAATAGACGGTGGGTCACAGCAGATCATTAAGTTACTGAATAAATAACTACATAATAGATAATGTATGTAATATATTAAATAAACAATACCTTATTTGGTCGTTTGACCGGGAGCCTGCCCAATCATTAGTTCATCTTGAGATTGAGGATTTATTGTGTGTCTGTTGTGTAAATATGCTCATTGTGTCCGAAAGCTCTTCTTTCCAAAGTCTCAAAGAGAGAATCAATTTCTTCTCTCTAAGCTTAATACAGTGTGACATGGCCTTGAAAGAGTATGCCATGAATAAAGTATATTCCCCAAACAGTTGATTAATCTATGATTAATCTATGCTCTCCAGTCATTCATGTATTTTTGGAGAAACAAAGGGTGAGTGATTGGTAAGCGTCGGACTGCTTTCTGTGCTGCGGTGTGGTTGGCCTGTGCATGTTTCGTGGGGGGGTTGCACAATCGAAGGTGAATTCCTACCTTCGCCCAGAGGCTCAAACAAATTCAGCAGAGAAGGTGCCGTGTCATTTCCACTCCATTCCTTGAGGCACCGAAGGACTGATGTGATGTTCTCGGCGACTCAGTTTAATGGACTTAGAGCATCTCGAAGGACATTCGGGTTCAGGTTGGCCACTTGGCGAACATAAGCGGAAGGAAGTGGTTATGGTCCAACTTGGGAAGGAAAATGAAAAAGCATTGGGATAAATACGTGAAATATTTGACATGCTCGTGTGCATGAACCGTGTTGTATTGTTGCTAAAAGAACCGAACGTGATCCATGTCTGCGATACGGAATTTCTCCATTAAAATTCCAGCAAATAATTTGCCGCAGGAATGCACAGGACCCACTTTAGTCACATCTGACACATATTTCTTTCACTGCACTCCTTCTGTTGTCATAATTACCATGTTATCAATTTAATTAGCACCACGTTTGATACATTTCTTAAGGTCTTGTTTGATGAATGAATTAGTGCCTGTTTGCGTAAAATTCCATTGTGATTTTAAAGCATTACAAAGGAAAGATTCGGAATTAGTGGCGTACAAGCTTAGAAATGAGGCTCTTTTGTTGGGTAATCAGTAATGCATGCATAAAATTACAACTCTTCAGGAGCTTTGAAAGAATGATTTTTGATAATCGCAAATTTTTGAGTGACCTGAACTCAAAATTTTTGAGTTACCCCAACTCAAAATGTTTGAGTTACCCCAACTCAAAATGTTTGAGTTACCCCAACTTAAAATTTTTGAGTTAGCTAAACTCAAAATTTTTGAGTTACCCCAACTCAAAATTTTTGCCATTGTACATACGTGCTGTACATACACAGCACGTGTGTGTGTATATATATACATATATATATGTGTGTATGTATGTGCGTGTATGTATGTATATTCAGATTTAAATGTTACGATGATAGCAAAAAAAAAAAAAAAAAAACGGATTGTTGGAAGCAGTGTTCATTTTGACAAGAAATTTTAATTGAGTAGATGTGTGCCCGTCGGTACGGTGCCTGATAAATATGTGCCACCTTGTCAGTTCTGACTTCTGTCTCTTATTGGCTGTTTTCTTCGAGCAAGGTTTCTTGCAATTACAGGCACAAGATTTTTTCATTATCCCCCTTCCTCCTTTCATGTTACTTTTTCCCAAACAATAATCATTTCTGTCATCAACCATATTGTGATGTACTTTTTTTTTCTTCCTTTCCCTAAGAGTGTGGATTACAGCATTAGTATGTTAGAGTATGTTTGAGTACCCGAGGTAGAAAAGCGCTTTACAAGTGATAGCGCATAGGATGTGCTGTTTTGATATGTACATGCTACGTTTGATTAAATGAAATTACTTTCAGGGGTAAAAAGTGACTGGGAAATAACAACAGAGTCACATCTGCATTCATGAATAATTGCAGAGTGCGTGCTCAGCTCCGATTCAGTGACACACGCACTGTGCCAGGCATGTGCGCACAAACACGGCACAGTGATTTGCTTCGTTTGTAATTCAATCAGGCCTGATTGTTTTGTAGGTTATGAATTTGATTATTATTTCACCATTGTTGCGGGATGGATACACTGATTCTTTTTTTGATTGCATCAGATGCACTCTCTTCCTTGTTGGCAACCCACACGCCTGCACCTCATGTCATTTTAATCCGGACACTTTGACTTGAGCCGCTCACAGAATGTTCTCGTCAATCTTCCGGCCTTGTCTCTTACCAAGACATCCTAAAAATGGCACATGACCATGCGCCGGTACTGAGCTGTGATTTATGAGTAAGCACTCACGATCATTGATTTATGCTTTGAGGAATTTCCGAGGCTGTGTCGAAAAACCTTCCTGTGATCCTGTAATGGCTGTCTAAATTGAGTGCGTCCGTCTCCTTCTCCTCAAAGTGTTTTCTCTTGTCACCTCTGAGCACTCCACAGCTTGGTGACAAGCAGCTCCAAAAATAGTTGCAGGTTTCACAGGAGGAGAGCAAAAGTAATGGAATACGACACTATAAGGTGCACCTAAAAGCATTCAATTTTCGCAAAAGCTGACAGTGCGCCGTATAATCCGATGCGCCTTGTATATGGATCAATATTCTGATTTCTTGGATGTGGTGTTTTAAATCTTCTGTAAAGCGCTTTGTTACAGCTACAGCGGTTGTGAAGGCTCTTTATAAATAAAGCTATATTGTATTGTATTGTATTCCCTTCAACATAGTTCCATCCAATGGATTCATAACGCAACCGCAGACATTATTGTACCTTCAATGCACCTTATAAAGCCTGTATATGAAAACAGTTTTAAAATAGGTCATTCAATGAAGGTGCACCTTCTACTCCGAAGCGCCTTATAGTGCGGAAAATACGGTAGCTGTGTTCCGTTCCTGTTACAGGAGGAAAAAATGCATACTCAGATTGCAGGTGCACTACATAAAAATGGGGTTTTCACAGGATTATCATTTTAATAGGGGGAAAAGCCAGTTGCTGACTTGAGCCCTCATTAAAGCTAGCAAGCAGAGCAACCTTTGCAAGAGTTAGCAGCACAAAAAGTAAGTTGTCATAATTTCCGCCATTTGGGCCACGGAAGCTCATGTAAGATTTAAATTTATGTTCACGAGAAAAGTCCAATTTTGGGGTTCGGGTGGATGGATGGACCATGACTGGCTGGCCTCTTGTCCAAGATGTAAACTATCTTCCGCACAATGTCAACCTCAAAGTTAATGGACAAATGAAAAATACTCGACGGGCTGTCTGTATCCAATCATGAGTGGATTCATTTAAAATGCAGTTTTAAACTCGCCGTAGATAATCAGCGGAGAACGAAGCACTAAACACATCAGTTTGAATGGTTACCAAGGACCAAATGTTAATCTTGATTTCTGGGGGGGGTGACACAGCACTAATGATGGTACCATTAAGGGGGAAGTGGCCCGTTTTCTTCCACTGTGGTTCCAGTAAATCAAGTGCATGGAGAGATGTAAAAGCCGGAAAAAGTGCAGCTTCAAAAGCAGCATCTTCTTTCCTCATTAATAAAAGAGCCTGAGGGATGGATCAGTGTTCGGCATGAAAACTACCAGGTTTTGGCTACTTAATATGTATGGCATATTTGTATTCTTCTATTCAGCACACTTGAGTTGATTTGCATCGCGGCGCGTTGCTGAAAACAAATGACCAAAGTTCAGTGGGGAGCAGCCCTGTGTCTATTCTTTCTAAAAGATTATCTCGAGTCAATTGTGTTTGGTAAGTTCATCGTTGTTTTTCCGCCCAGATCAGCTCGGAAAGATGTTAAACCCTTTTGAATATATATGATCACAAATTCTTATGCGTAGGGTCAACACAAAGTTTGGCTGAGCCATGGACTTTGTGATTGCGATGCGGAAGAGAACAATAGCTAATTACGAGGTGACCGGAAGCATGGCCTGTTGCCACACACAACAGGCAAGCAATTAACTGCAATAAAAATGACAAGGAGAAGAGTTTGCATCTGGATAATCCAGATAAGCAAGCAGTTAGTCTAGATCAGGATGGGGAAACTTCAATGCTTTTTTTCATTGGTGCTATTCCGGGACCACATAGGACCACATACTTCCTGACCAGATGTATAACGAAGATGCAATTTTGGATAAGTGCACACTCTTACTCTCATTCTCCTAATTACCGTATTTTCCGGAGTATAAGTCGGAGTTTTTTTCATAGT